CTCTCTCTCTCTCTCTCTCTCTCTCGCTCTCATAACAAAATAAAAAATACACAAGAAAGAGGGGGAAAGGAGAAGGAGGAGCAGAGAGCAGGGGGCGACCCATTGTGCTTATGTCTCCCGTGGTTCCACTAACAAATTAGCTAGTTTTTATCACACTTCTTTGATGATAGTGTCATCTTAACTCTGGCTGTTTGGGACGATCTCTCTGTGTCATGGTCTTGGTTTGGGTTTGGCGCAGGGTTTCTATGCATCTGTGTCTTCTGCCAGCTGTGCCATGGAACCAACCATCCTCCCTTCACACGCTCCCTTTGTCCCACACTTTCTCCTGTCGTTCCGACCACCAGCAACGCTTACGTTAGAGCACTCGGCATGAGCGTGCACATTTCAGCTTCTTCCACATTTTTCTGCCTTTTCCCTCTGTGTGTCCCAGTCTGAGTACCCTCAGTATCCTGCCTTTGGTTTTCCTAACTTGATCCTCACTAGATCTACTTCCTTCAGGGCTCGGTCCTTGTGTGTGAGATCACATCTTTGACTCTAGCGTCTTCTTCTCCGTTGGTTTGTCACAGTTTCAAGTATCAGAGGAATGGTTGCATTTATGAATTCTGCTCTATTTTTTAAAAAATTATTTTTGTCCATGTTTTAAGTCCCAGATTTTCCTAAGCTACCCTAAGATCTATTGATTTTAGTGATGGTCACATTTTTAAATAGCTACTTTTTATTATGTGTCTCTGTGAGTGTCTGCCATGAGAGTGTCCACAGAGCCCAGAAGAGGACATCAGATCCCCTGGGACTGGTGTTAGTTACAGGTGGTTTGGTCAAGAGTTGCCAGGCATGGGCACTGAGGACCGAACCCTGACCCTCTGCAATATCGGTTACTAACAGAGGTAGCTCTCCAGCCCCACTCACAGTTTTGTTTGTTAAGCTTTGAACATGGACATTCTGTGTGAAGGGTCAGCAGACAGTGGTGTTCATCCCACTTTCCCTCAGGAGGAGGCAGTCGGTCTTCCTGGGCCTCAGCCTCTGTGTGGCCTCAGTTGCCTCTGGCTTCAAATGCTCTGAGGCAGGAGCTGGATGCTTCCTGCAGCAGGATAGGACCAGAGCACAGGCAAGCTTTGGCTTTCAGTGTCTGAATTGGAAGCGATAGCAGCCAGTGCCTCTCTTCTGTAAGGCTGAGTTGCCATATGTCTTATGGTTGTTGGGGGGCTACCTTTTCCCACCAAGGCCTCCCCATATCTTGGGGCTGGAAAAGTCTTCCAGATAGTACTGTAATCATTCCTGTGATGGTGGTAGGGTTGTGACCCTGCACATTCGTGAAGGCCTGAAACACCATGCATGGCTGACCCTTAGATACCCTACACCTCACTCAGCCTCTGGCAGCCGTAGTCTGGACTTCTTGGAAGCAAGGATGTCTCTTAGTTCCTTGGTCTCATTCCTCATGTGTTGTAGGTGTATGTGTGCCACCTCAGCCTCCCCCATAGGTCTCAGGTGTCACTGCCACCACTCCTTCAGTGCCTCGTTTTTGAGGGAGGTCCCTTCCTCCCCAGGGGTATACTTGTTCACTGCATCTCTTCCCCCTGGCATCTGGTCATTGTGCATGGTGAACCCCACAATCCCGGGCAGCAGTCAGATGCAGACCTCCTTTGAAAGTGGAGCACATGGCTAGCTCGTCAGCTGCCCGAAGTGAGTTATTGCTCTTGAGCAGTTGCTCTAGAACTGGGGCTGCAGAGACTTTCTGTTGCAACGACCTTGCCATTTCTGCTAAAATGTGGCTCCTTAAGTAGCTGGCTCTGTGGATAGGCAATTGTCATGCAGGCTTGAGGACCAGCGTTCAGGTTCCCAGAAACCACATCAATGCCAGATGGGTTCATTCCTGTAACTCCAGAGCTCAGAAGGTGGAGACAGGGGATACCCAGAGTAAGACTAGCCATCTGGGTGAGTTCTGGGGTCAAGTGAGAGACCCTGCCTCAATGAATAAGGTGCAGCATGATGGAGGAAGACTCTCAGTGTCAACCTCAGGCCTCCACACACATGCACACTCACCCTTTCACCCATACACACAGGCTCACTCACACGTGCCAACACACATATACACCAGCACACGAAACACACACACATACACGAGTGAAAAACACTATCTCCCTCAGGCTCCTACATGCCCTCGGCTCTCTGGAGATTGTTCTCACTGGTTATTTTGCAGCTTGGAAAGCCTCTTGGCGGGGTGGAGCTTTTAAGGGCTAAGCCATCTCTTCAGACCCTGAAGAATATCTTGTAACTTCCTACTATCAACCAGAAGTGCAGGACTGCCAAAAAAATAACTTTCAATATTGCCGCATATAATATAAAGTCTCTAGAGCATCTCTTGTGGTTGGGTAAGACTGCATCAGGAAAAGGAGCCAAGCATGGAGGCATGTGCCTACAATCTCAGAACTGGTGAGGCTGAGAGAGAAGATGGACAGCTCAAGGCCAGCAGGGTCTACCCAGCAAGATCCTGTGTCAGGGTGAACATGGAGGTACCCTATTGCTCAGCCTTGACCTATGTGGGAGTATGGGACTAGGCTCAACCTGGTGACGAGGGGGTGGGTGGAGGGGTGTGTGTGTTGTATGTACATGTACACATGGGTAGTTCTATGTAGGTGCCTATGCATGCATGTATATAGAGACACTGATGTCTCCTTCAATATGATCTCTCAGTAAGGCTAGATTTCATCAGTTGGCTAGCTGCCACAGAGTGATTCATCTGTCTCCGCCTCCCCAGAGCTGGATGCAAACTCAGGGCTGCAGGCTTTCACGATAAGCATTTCACCAATGAAGCCATCTCCCCAACCCACCATGAGGGCATCTGTGTTTTTTAAGGGCAGTATCTGGGAAGGGATAAGATTAGAATCTAGCAAGTTCTAGCAGGAACTACAGTAAAGGCTGGCTGTTGTGTGCACACATATTCATACTTGTACTCCCAGCACTTGGGAGGTAGAAGCAGGTGGATCAGAAGTTCCAAGGCCAGCCTCAGCTACAGGGTAAAGTTGAGGCTAGATTGGGCTACATGACACCCTGTCCTCACTGATGTCCAACAATAAAATAGAGAGAAGGAAGAGAGAGAGAGAGAGAGAGAGAGAGAGAGAGAGAG